AGATATGAACGATCAAAGAGTGTATACATACTTTTGGGACGCTCTGTATAGTAACAAATTATGTCGTCAATTGAAAACCAGCCCTTTTGCATCCTTACGAGTGCTATTATACCCATGAGGCGAGCTGAATTGTTAGAATAATGTGCAAAAAAGTGTCTAACGTCTCTTCGGAATGTTGCGCGTTTTGCATGATTTGATAAACGGATATAAAAGAAGGCAAACCCATTCTGATTCGCACATTCATAATATACTACCGTAATCCGAGTCATTGGGATACTATAGCGGTGCAAATGAGCGCCAAACATTTCTTTCAGAAACTTCGCGCAGTTACAGGATGCGGTAGGCGGTACGGAAAGAACGTGAACCCATCTCTAATATGCACGTGCTATACTACCATAATCCACCGCGAAGCGCTAAATCATGGTGGGATACTGGCGGCGCGAGAGAGCGCGAAAGAATTACCCAAAAGCGCGCGCGGTTGCACAGGATACGGTAAACGGATACAAAAAGAACACGAACCCATTCTGATAAGCACATTTATCATTTACTATTGTAATCCGACGCGGGACGCTGAGTCGTGGTAGGAGACTGTAGGTGATTTGGGTGCATTAGCAAGAGTAAAAGCTTACCAGACTTCGTAGCGATGATGGAACACATTATCAGGGCCAAGCCTCGGTGGAACATGAGGTACGGGGTCACGGTGATGAACGACACGGTAGGAGTAAGGGAACTGAAGTTGAGGTATGAGGTAAGCTGTCCGAATGCTGACCTTGATTATGACCTACCGTAGCCGATTGCCATACAGCAAAATCGTAGTCACCAGTTCTGGGCTGACCGTAAGTTATGAGTTTGACATCCTTCGGGTCCCACATATTCCATTTCACAAGGTAGGCGGCTGTTATAGAAGCGATTGATGCTCCAAGTGAGTGGCCAGTAATCTTCAAAAAATCTACTTTTTACTCCATCAACTGTAAAAAATCGCAACTCACATAAACTTTATAATCTGGATATTGATATTTCAGTGTTCTTACTTGCTGCTCGAGACCTCCATTCCATAAAAAGAAAAATGCATCATGGAAATATTTGAATAGATAGCCGTTGTCGAAAAATGCTACTTTGTGGCTGAAAAGATCCTAATAGATTCCGAAATCTTGCCTTAATAACCCTACAAAAAGAAACTGAGTATCTCATCAGTCATTTGGTTGTTATTGCTCGTTCCCTCAAACGCGATGATTACTGCTTTTTCGACAGGATCCCATGCGGTGTAACCGTAGCAGTGGACGTCTAGGCAAATGGAAATGAAGTCGGATAGGTTT